TGTGATTATCTGGGGGACTGTGTGTGTGTGTGTGTGTGTGTGTGTGAGTGTGTGATTATCTGGGGGACTGTGTGTGTGTGTGTGTGTGTGTGTGTGAGTGTGTGATTATCTGCTTCCCCTCCTCTCAGCCTTAGCATCTTGCATAGTGAAATCCTTGGCACATAATCTACTGACGTTTACTGCAGCTCAAACGATGCATTTGCATTTGCACCCAAGGTTTGGGGAGGCCCCCTTCTGGCCACACACAATGATTACACTAAATTTTGAATAAACGTTGTATTTCTTATTTAGGTGATGCTGAAGCAGGATGCTCTGCTAACCAGCTATCTAGCTATGGTCTTCTGGCTCCACTCGCTAGGTATTCATTTAGTTTTTGAAACGTAACTTTTTGAGTGGGACCCCAGAGACAATAAACTCGTCCCTGTGGACATGGGATTGTGACTCTGGTATGTTCAAAGCTGTTGTACACCAGGACTGAGCTTGCAGTGTCCCAGACAGAGACGCGCTTTTCTGGATGCGGCACCACCAGATTTAATTTAAAGGTTGTTTCCCAGAGATTTCTCAAGGCATTCCTCATACAGGGGAAGCCATTATCTATTTCATTTTTTCAAAATAAAATCAGTCTTCGTTGCTGGCACAGTACAACGTGAATGATTCCCCAAGTGTGCTTTATTGTGCCATATGGCAGTTTGCAAGTTGAATCACGCACCCAGATAGGCACAGTAAGCAGAAACATCTTCACACGCTCTCCAACATAGTATGATTCTTGCTTGCCAAAGCAACACAATTAACTTGTAGGTATAAAAAAATGCATTGTGTCCTCCTGTTGTACAGAGTCATATGCTGTGCATCCTTTGCTGTACAGAATCATTATGCAGTGCACCCTTTGCTGTACAGAGTCATTATGCAGTGTACCCTCTGCTGTACAGAGTCATTATGCAGTGCACCCTCTCCTGTACATAGTCATTATGCAGTGCACCCTCTCCTGTACATAGTCATTATGCAGTGCACCCTCTTCTGTAGAGAGTCATTATGCAGTGCACTTTCTCCTGAACAGAGTCATTCGCTGCTAGGTTGTATAAATGGGTATAAAGACCAAGTCACATCGGGAGAGCCATCAATAGTCGAAACGCTGTCCAACATGCAGAGCTGTGAGAGGAGAAGACCTCAGATTGAAAAGGTCAATGTCAACCTCATGGAAAAATTGAAGCTTCAACATACAAATGAACAGACTGGCCTATCAGGGCGCCAGTGCAATCATTCTGAAAATGTCACAAACTCTTCTCAGTAGGGTCTTGCCATTGAACCGCTTAAGGGAAGATTCTGTTGTATTTTACAAACTCCACAATTTTTTTCTTTACGTTTTAAGACCATCCACAGCACCTGAAGGTTTCCGTGATGACCAGAATCCAGCCAGCATGGACCCAGATCCAGACCCTTTGGCCTTAAGCAGCGATCTCAACACTGTGGCTGGTGAATCACTGGAGCCGTCTGCCTCCGTGAGCCACAGGAGCGCGGTTGAGTGATGTGGATCCGCTAGCCGAACGTCGGGGGATGCAGCTTAGCCAGGGGGGGGGGAGAAGCTGCTCACTTAGCTGGCTTTGTGTTTCGCTGAATTGTGTGGTGTTCTACACACACGAGCCCTGCATGTGCTGCATGCTGTATCCGACAGCCCCGGAACTCTGGGGAACCTTCCTACTTGCTGCCCTTAGGCACTACAGCCCCTGTTCCTGACTTGTCACTCCCCACCCCGCGTAACAAATCAGATAATGTCTGGAACTCTCCGTTTCAACATAAAATTGCAAACATACACTATATTACCAAAAGTACTGGGACACCTGCCCTTACACACACATGATTTTTAATGACATCCCATTCTTAATACATAGGCTTTACATTGGCCCACCCTTTGCAGCTAAAACAGCTTCAACTCTGGGTAGGCTGTGTACAAGGTTTAGGAGTGTGTTTATGGGAATTGTTGACCATTCTTCCAGGACAGCATTTGTGAGGTCAGGCACTGATGTTGGGCGAGAATGCCTGGCTCGCAGTCTCCGCTCTAATTCATCCCAAAGGTATTCTATCGGTTTGAGTTCAGGGATCTGTGCAGGCCAGTCAATCTCCTCCACACCAGACTCGCTCATTGATGTCCTTATGGACCTTGCTTTGTGCACTGGTGCGCAGTCATATTGGTACAGGAAGGGGTCATCCCCAAACTGTTCCCACAAAGTTGGGAGCATGAAATTGTCCAAAATGGCTTTGAATGCTGCAGCATTAAGAATTCCTTTCACTGGACCTAAGGGGCCAAGCCCAACCCCTGAAAAACAACCCCACACCATAATCCCCCCTCCACCAAACTTTATACTTGGCACAATGCAGTCAGGCAAGTACCATTCTCCTGGCAACCGCCAAACCCAGACCTGTCCATTGTATTGTCAGACACTTTGCATTGCACTTGGTGATGTAAGGCTTGGATGCAGCTGCTTGGCCATGGAAGTCCATTCCATGAAGTTCTCTACACACTGCTCTTGAGCTAA